TCTGATGTTGATCTTCGCTTGGAGGTGGTCTTTGAGCGAGGCGACTTCTTTGTTGGCTGCTTCCACGCGCAGCATCATCCTGGCAATCGTGGTCTCCGTCCAAGCACTCTGCTGATGTAAACTCTTCTCTGAAATCAACATTCTTCTCAATATGGAAATGGATGTGGCGAGCTCCTGCACTGGCTCTCTCATGGCCCACGCTAGGTTGTACCTCTGCTGGAGCAGGTTCAGCCTGGAGCGTGTCTCGCGGTAGTACTCTTTCTTCTCCGACTCGGTAGCACGGGAGCTCAGGGGACGGTAGTCTGGATGAGCCTGTGCTTCTGCAGGGGTCGCCATTCGTACGTATGGGGCACCATTGGACTTCAGATCGTCTTCCCATGGGCGTGACTCTGATGCTGATCTCTGGCTCTTCTGGCTCTTGGATCTCTGGCGGCCCTTGGGATTGCTGGTGCCGTTCTCTTTCTTTGAAGACTTCCAATGACCGTTGCACTTGACGCAGTTCACCGACGTATTCCAGTTCTGCTGCCCGCATCTGCACTGCCATGCGCACATCCACGGCGCCATCAACGGAACCTGCTGACTGAAGCTCCGCAGCGGGAGCAGAAAGAAAGAGGAATGCGGTGAGCCTGGCCAGGATCTTGGCCAGAGCGGTCGTGTTGCCTAGGAGCGCTGTGCTCCAAATCCTTGGGCCCTGCTACGGACGGGCCCAGACCTAATCGCTGGTTCTCGGGCGTCTATAGCCCTTCACAGCGTTTAAGTCTTGAGCCAAAATGGCTACGGTCCCTCCTCCTCCTCCTCCTCCTCCTCCTCCTCCTCCTCCGCCTCGTCTCGGGTTTACGCTGGTCCTCCTCCTCCTCCTCCTCCTCCTCCTCCTCCTATTACAAAAGAAGGCATCGCAGAGATGACCGCAGAGGCAATCGACCATTGGTCGGGGACAGAATTAGCACAAAGCGTGTCGCGCCGGTGGGTCTGGTCCATCACGCTACGGTTAAATCGGGCATGTCCCTCTACAGTAGGAACACTAAGAAACAGTATTGGGACGATTCTTAGATCAATTTTGACTATGTTTGAACACGTTTCGGCTCGGTTTGAGTTGACTTCCCAAATCCGCCTGTAGGAGGACATGCCCGACCTCACGCTGCGGCGCCACACGCTAATCAGATTCCCACTTCAGGCGTCACAGGCCCGAGCATTTCTCAGCCTCCCGCTATGTTGAGCATGGCGATACGCTATCAGCTCGCAGGGCACAGCGCGTTTCCGGGACCGCCGCCGCGACACAAGTTCCTGACCGTATGAGCTGCCATGGATCGCAGAAGCTGTCAAAAAGGCATCGCAGAGAACACAGAGGAGGTACAATAGAAACCCATGCCAAGAAACGCCCCGCTTGCCTCCAGGGTGCCCTGGTTTTTTTGGGGTTCCGATGGTTCTGCGATGGAAAGCGTGACCCTCCCACACCAAAAATCAATTGACGTGCTGGGGTCTCAGGGTTGGGTTTCTCGTGGACGGTTTCTTGTGGTCGAGCTCCTGTTGTGGGCATTTCCGAAGTTGGCGGGCTCTTCGACAACGCCAGCGACTACGGCGGGCCGCCCGGCGGCTCTCCATCTGTCTGTGCTGGCCAGGCTAGGCGTTCCACCTCTTCCGCACCTGCGGGACCCGCGAGAGCCGCGCGGGCGATCGTTTGGGTCTATGGCATCGTCTCGTGGTTCGACTTCTTGGGGGGTCGCATGACGAGTTGCGGAAGCCCTGTCGACGGAATTGCGCCGTGGCGGCATGCGGACCACGGGAAGCGCGCGCGTCGGCTCCATTTCGCAAGCGCCGACGGCACGTCGGCCCAGCACGGTCCCCAAGGGACGAGGGTAAACGTTGATGTTTGCATCGCACACAGCGCGTTGCGTCGCGAGCAGCGTCGGGCACCCCCCAATGGGGGCGCGTGGGCCCCAGCGATGGCTCAGAAGCCATCTCCGGATCGGTGCCATCGGTCCAGAGGCATCACGCGGTCCCCCGGGGCCCGGATGTCGGAGGTATTATTGTTCCAATGCGGGGGTCCTCCGAAGGCTCGACCCTGCCCCAAGGCCTGGCAGTCCTGTCTGCGAGTCGATACGAACCCTGCCCCTGCAGGTCCAATCGGCGCTGGGGTCTCGGGCGCCGCCGCTGGGGGTCACCTCGCTGTCGATGTCCTTCGGATCCTGCACCCGGGCCAGTTTTTCAGAGAGCTAACCTGCAGGGGCAAGGCTCACGCGTGGCTGCCGATCCCGAGGCCCGACGAGTGCCCCCCGAGGCCGAACACGACGAAGGACAGGAACATTCATGTTCAGGTGCGCGGGAGGTCTGTGGACTCTGAGGATTGTCCCGCCCGCCTTCGGGCACCGACGTCTTGCGCGCGGTCCGTGCCAGTTCTCACGAGACGGTGCTGGGCCGCCGTTCGACCTCGATCGAGCCGTGTTCTGCGCCCTGCCGCCCGTTCGCCCATGGACACCTCCTCTTCCTTCGGCTGTGGAGTTCGGATGCCGCGCCCTTCCGCTCGCCGCACGTGCCACCCTATCTGGGCGAGGATGGCGGGGAGGTCAGAGCCACTGCCCGCCACAGGAGCGCCCCACGCGGTGGTCGCAGTGCGAACCAGTGGGCGGCAGCACAGCCGACAGTGCGTGGTCGCCCGCGGGGCAGCAGCGCAGGCGAGGAGAAAGGGCCAGGACAGTGACAGCCGCGGAGGCAAGGCGAGGGTGGAGAACATGGGGCGGAGGGCGGAGGGGCTAGATGCCAGGGGCGCTGAGGCGGAGCGCCAGACCCAGCGTCTGGCGAGGCGGGAGCGGCGTCTGAAGCGCCAGGGGAAGCAGCGAGGAGGACGTTCGGCGGGAGGGAGCGGATGAACTGGCTGAGCAGAGGGGCAGGAAAGTCTTGCGAGCCCAAGGAACGCTCGACGAGGCCCGCGGCAGTCGCATGTTGAATGGCCCACGTGTGCCAGGCCGCGCTGACGTAGTTGGTGACGGGGGAGGCACCGTCCAGCAGGGCGGAGACCAGAGTGAGGTGCTCGGCGCTGGAGGCAGCGCAGCGGACGAGGCGGCCTCAGCCGCCTGGCCAGGCGGTGGCCCGCTGCTTCGGCGGAGGGGCGCCCGCTGGCCCAGCTGGCCCGGAGTGTCCCATCGATCGCGGTCGGGTCTCAGCGGCGGCGGAGCTGGGAGGTGGCCGCGCGCCGATGGCATGCTGGGACGTGGGCTCACCCCTGGCCACGGGTGGGGCTGCGGGTGGCGCGCGTCGTGCGGGCCTGGGGCTGGCCAGCTCCCTGGGCCGGCCGCAGGCCTCGTGCGCGGCCTCGCGGCTGCCGGCGGCCTGCGGGAGCGAGGGAGGCCACCTATGGAGGAGGACCCGAGGGCGCGGGGCCCGTCGCGGCTCGGGCCGCGCCAGGCGGCCCTGAGCGGCGGTGGCCTGGAGGGAGGGCGCTGGACGCTCGCGCCAGGCAGCTCCCTGGACCAGGTGGCGCGCTTCTGTCGTGGGAGCGGGCCGGCGGGGGCAGGCTGCGCCACGCGCGGCGAGGCGGAGGCCACGCTGGAGGCGCCTGAGGTGTGCAGGGCGACCAGCACTGGCTCGTGGGGAGACGTGCCCACGGACTCCCCGCGCCGCCCTGGGGTAGCATCGCGCGAGGTAGGGGCGCCGATGGCGTTGGGGAGCGCACGCGCACACACCTTTTCCTTAGACTCGCCGATGGCTCCTGATCAGCGGTTCAAAACCATGTGGGCGACGCCCGCATAGCTCAAGGCTGAAGGTCACACTGCACAAGTCGAGCGCAATCGACCGCTGGGAAGCAACCACGAGCGGATGCAGGACAAAGCGTCAGAGAGGGGGAGAGGGAAAGAGAGGGAAGAGCGATCAGTAGGCGCGGTACCACAAGCGCCAGCAGACAGCGAGGCGAGGCGAAGCGAGCAAAAGCACGCACGCGCACACGCACACACGCACACACGCACACACGCACACACACAGACACAGACACAGACACAGACACAGACACAGACACAGACACAGACACAGACACAGACACAGACACAGACACAGACACAGACACAGACACACGCACGCACGCACGCACGCACGGACGCACGCACACACACATACAACACACACAACACACACACACACACATATTCACACACACACACAACACACACACACAACACACACACACACACTTTTACGTCGCGGCCCTGCGCGCAGCGACAGGGCGTAGATGGTCGAAAACCAGCAATCGCACGCGCGACTAAGCCCGCCCGAACACTCAAAGATCACTAAGCGTCTCGCAGCCGCCGGCAGCCATTAACCATCTGTACAGGGGGAGCAGAGGAAGGACGAGACAACGATGAGGTGGCACCCACACACATACACATAGACGTACACACACGCACACACAGCGCCGTGGCGGATGTTACCTCTTGGGCGCTTGATGTAGTGCGCGTGCGTCCGTATGTGTGTGTGTGTGTATGTGTGCTCCCGCCTGCCACTGCTGGTCACCGCCGCCCCTCCCTCTCCGCTCACCGTGGCTGCACTCGGCTGGGCTTGCACGTGCTTCTCGAACGTGACTTGTATCGCTCGAGTGGCTCTTCGCCCTGGCCGCGTGAGCTCGAAATTGTTGTGTGTGTGTTGGTGTGGGAGTGTGAGTGTGAGAGAGTGTGTGTAGGTGTGCGTGTGTGTGTGTGTGTGTGTGCAAGTGTGTGCAAGTGTGTGTATGTAAGCGTCTGTGGCTGTATGTGTGGGCGTGTGTAGGTGTAAGTGCGTGTAAGTGTGTGTACCATGTGTGTATCATGTGTGTGTTGATTTGTTTTTTATGTTAGTCTGTCTCTCTGGGCGAGTGCGCACGCGAGCGGCCGCGCAGGCGTCCTCTGCGCGACTTTCTCGGTCGCACCCTGCCCGCGCGCGTGGCCGCGAGCACGAACGACTGGGCGACGGCGTCTGGCACACCGTTCGCCCTGCCTCCGCGCCCATGGCTCCGCGCGGCCTGTCCCGGCGCCGAGGCCAGTTCTCCATGGACACCGTGAAGCTTTGCATGGGCGAGCTGGAGCCGTCGCAGGAGCAGCTGCGGCACGTCTGCTCTTGTGTGGGGTGGGGGAGGGGCGGTGGGCGGCCAGACGTGTGAGGTCAACACGACCGCGGCATGGTCTGGCCCACCCTCATCCCCACCTGGGCCATGGCATCTCAGCCCAGCCCGCCCACCCTTTTGGGTTGGGGGGGGGCCCCGCGAGAGACCTGCAGGTTATCCCTACCCTGGGTGCGTGAGTCGGCCACTCGGGCCAAGGCCACGCCGCTGGGAGTATGGATCGGCCCAACGGTGCTCACAAACTTCGGACGTCAGCGGGCCTCAGGTGCTCCGTTGCTGGCCACACCCACCGCGCTCGGACCAGGCTGGTGCTCTCGCACTGGCGACGGATGCGTCGGCGAGCAGGCAGGGGGACGAGGGAGGACCAGGAGTAGCAGAAGTGGGGAGAGGAGCAGGAAGCACGATGTGTGAGGGAGGGCGAGGACGAGGCGGAGGATCAGTGGGAGGGGATTCGAGGAAGAAGCAAGACACAGGGGGAGGAGGAGGGGCAGCTCCTCGCACATGCCTGCGTGTGCGAGAGCGTGGACGCTCCTCCTCGCGGGGGCTTCCTTGCCCTTCGCGTCCTCCCTCTCGCCATCCTCCCTCCTCGCTCTCTCCCGCCTTATCCTCCCTTGTCTTCCCTTCTCCGCCCTCTTCCCTCTTCCGCTTCTCTCATCCCTCTCTTTCCAATGTCCTCCCTCTTCTTTCCGCTCCCATACTTCCTTCCCCAGCTCCGCTGGCGCCCCCTCCACCCTCTTCCCCTTACCAGTGCTTGCCAATTGTCTTGTGCTGCCCCGCGCAGGCTGACGAAGAGCTTCCATGAGCCTTTAGATCCTTGAGTCCCCTCCCACCCCATCGCCTCCTCCCCCGTCCCCCCCCCCCTTCCGTCTCCTCCGCCACCCCCCCTCCGCCTCGTCTGCCTCCTCCACCTCCCGCTCCCCCCATCCTCCCCTTACGCTGTGGTTTTGGGGCCATCACTCGGCTCTCTGGACGATCCGGGTTTCGCCTGAACAGCCTCGACGAGGCGCTGCGGCTGGAAGGCATCCGGAGGCGGGGAGACCGCCGAAAACCGGCGAAAGCGCCCGAAAACTTCAACACCCCCCACCCTTGCGTCCTCCAGGCGCTCTTGCCTCCGCCTGCGCCTCGATGGCTGGTGGTGGTGGTGGTGGTGTTTGCCACAAGCTCGGTTGGCCCGAAAAGGATTTCAGGTCCGTCCCGTGGCTTCGGCTCGGGCGGGACTGTGCTGAACCCGCTGGTGGCCTCGCTGGCTGAGCGCCCTCGAGTTTTTTGTTGCAGCAGTGATGCGCGTCCTCGTATTCGGGTGTTCTGCCACTTCGTCCTCCTGGCCCTCCTGCCACCGCCTGCGCCTCCCGTTCCCCGCCCCCCCCCGCCCCGCGCGTCTCGCCCAGCGCAAGCTCTTGCTGGCCGCCCTCCACGAGGCCCCCGACCCGCGGCTGGTGGCGCTTGGCGCGGCGCCCAGAGTGCCCGACTCCATTTGGGCGGCCATCACCGCTCCATGCTCCATTCCTGCGTGCTCTCGCGCCCTGCCTTTTTGCCGCCTTTTCCTCCCTCCTCCTCCTCCTCCTCCTCCTCCTCCGCCTCCGCTCTCTCGCCGTTTGGGCGGCCATGATCGCTCCATGCTCCACACGAGAGCCTGCGGTGGATCGGCAGGATGATCGTCGCGCCTCTTTCTCTTGCCGCCTCCGCCCCCTCCCCAAGAGTCACGTAGGAGATCGACTACATGATTGATCGAGCCTGCGAAGCTACGTACAATGCTGCGTAGATCCATGGAGCATTCTGCGTTGTTTTGTCGACTACATGATTGATCGAGTCTGCGAAACTACGTACAATGCTGCGTAGATCAGTATAGCATTCTGCGTTTTCTGATTCTCTAGATCTCGACGAACACACCACTTCGGGGGTGAGTCAACTCTGTCGTCGATCTCCGACTCGTGGCAGGTGCGCGGCCAAAAAACAGATGGGCCGCTCAGCGTCCCCGCCCGGCGAGGGAGCGGGGAGGGGAGGCCACGGCCCTGTGAACCGGCACGCTGCAAACCGGGACTTCCCCTGAGCATTCTCCGAGGCGGGAATTTTTACATGACCACCGCCTGGAGGGTCAGTTTTCGGAGCCTCGGCAGGCGGTGGAGATGGACATACTCGGGCCCCCGGGGGCCGACATGTATCCATAGCCACCGCCCGCTGGGGCAACAGGACGTCGGTTCCCAGGCGATGGATACGGATAAATCCCCGCCGCGCACATTCCACCTGGATAGAGCGAAGGGTGGAGAATGCTCCGACCCGCCGCTGCACTTCTCTTGGGCGCGCCCGGGTCCTGCCTTGTCATAATCCCAGTTCCGCGGGCCCTGACCCAGACCCCCGACGCCATTATTGGTTCCTCGCCTCGGCCCCCAGAGGGCGGGTTCTGACGGTCCCGAGAGGCCAGGTGAGGGCCTCCAGGCCGAAAGCAGTGAGAAGTCTTCCGCCGTGACTTCTTCGTGACCCGAGGGGTCTGGGGTTAGGTCGGGCACGTCCCTCTACAGGAGAAATACTCAAAAAAGATTCAAAACATAGCGAGGGGATACTTTTTTTTCACAACTGTCGACCGTTTTGGAATATTGTTTGACTACTTTTTTTTCTTCGTCCCGGATCCCCCTGTAGGAGGACCTGCCCGACCGAAGTCCGGGGAGGGGGGGGCGGGGCGAGGGCGAAAATGGCCCCCCTGTCCCCGACGGGCCAGCCCCCGCAGGCGTCGGCGGCTCTCCGGCCCAGGACCGCTCGGCGGCGAGTCGCCCTGCTGCCTTCCTTCGCACGCCGTGCACGGTGCTCCGCGACCGCCTGCCCGGGCCGCAGCGCGCCGTGGGGACAGTGCCCCTCGCCCCCCGCCTCGAGGCCCCGGAGCGTCTTTGCTTCGGGTAGGAGGTCGACTACGTAATCGATGTACCTCGAGCTTGATGGCTTCGCCGAGTCTGCGGGAAGCATGTGGACTGCTCCGTAGGTCTGCGGAGCATGTTGCGCATTGCTCGCACGGGACCACCACTTTTGAGAGGTGAGTCAATTCTGGAGTCGATCTCCTCATCGAACCTATAGAGACCCTGGAGCGCTTTTCAGCTTTGAGCGTCCATCTGAGATGTCCCTTGCCGCCTCCTATCCCCTTCCTCTCCCTCTCCCTCCACGGGAGCTCCTCGCTCCTCCGGAGGATGTAGGCTCTGGAGGTCCAAATAGGGACAACAGCGGGAAGCTGCCTCGATCCTCCCCTCCCCTTTCTCCCTCTCTCCCACTATGAGCCCGTTTGGCGCCCGAGCCCGCTCGGCCGCTAGACGGACTCCGGATCGAGCCTGCTAGTCTTAATTCGGGCCTGTCCCTCTACAGGAGGGATATTCAAAATAGTCAACAAAAATAGTATGGGGACGATGTTTCTATGATTTTTGACAATTTTGGATTCTTTTGGGGGTATTTTTTGATTTTTCGTCCAAAATCCGCCTGTAGGGGGACACGCCCGGCCTAATGGTAGGCCGAGCTCCCACCGCCCTCTCGGCATCGAGCCCGCTCGGCGGCCGAGTGGGCTCAGACGCCGAGCGTGCCCCGGAAGGGGCCCGCGGGGTCCCTGCTCCCCAGAACTCCAGCGTCGCGTTTTTGCTGCAGCGCGCGTGCTTTCCTTCCTGCGAGTCGTTGTGCTGGATGGTCCCAGCGCCCAGCGAGGTCCCCCAGAGACAGAACATTGTGCTATTCTGTGTGATGTTGTCGCAGCGCGAGTGCCCAGGCATCTGCCGATAGGATTATTCCAATCCGCGGCCCCAGAGGTCCCGACCACTCCCCCGGGGGGAAGTCGTCTGTCTCCGATCCAGTTTTGAACGTAGCATTGTCCGACGTAACGGCCTCCGAGGGCGGAAACCTACACCGTCGCCAAAAGTCTTATCAAACACGAGCCACGCAGTCTCCCTGGTCGTGCGCGCCATGTGCTTGTTGGCGCCCCCTCTCCAATGTCGGTCATCGTGGAACTTCCGAGTCGCACCCGCCCAGGCCGTGTGTCGCTCTGCTTCGATATTGAGGGGAACGGCATCGAATGGCTGCAAGGCGGCGACATTGAAGTGGCGCGTCAACCACTTTTGACCTTCACTTTGTTGAGGGTTGCAGGACAACGATGGGTCTGAAAACATGATCTCGTCGGGGATTTGGGGATAACCATGAACCCACGAGAATAACCCCCCAGAGATAATAAAGTTCGGGGTTTTCGGGGAGATCATAAAAGTTGCCCGCCAGAGCCAGCATAAAGAGATATCAAGAGGAAAAAGCCAAAGATATCTTGAGGATCCTTGGTCTTTGGTCCTGTATGATACATCCTCAACAATGATTTGTCTCGGTTGAGACATCCTCAACAATGGTTTGTCTCAGTTCAGGGCGCCAGGGGGCGAGAAGAAGGAGAAATACAACGAGATAGAGAGAGAGAGAGAAAGAAAAGAAGAGCAGGAGGAGGCGGAAGAGAGAGGATCGGAGAAGGAGGAAGCGAACATCCAAAGTTCAAAACTTATTATATTTAATTTGTAAACGCTTGATGAAAATTAAAGTTTTCATCTGCTCGTGTAGGGGAGCTCATGTGCTTAGTTTTCCCGGGGTAATCAACCCCAGCGATAAACAAGTTCAGGGCGCCAGGGGGAGGAGGAGAAGAGAGAGAGAGAGAGAGAAGGAGAGAGAGAGAGAGAGAGACAGAGAGAGAGAGAGAAAAAGAGAGAGATAACAGAAACATACACTAAGAGAGAGAGAGAGAGAGTTCAAAACTTCCTTCTTATGTTGTTATCTCAACATGAGAAGGAGGTAACCTCGATGGCGAACTTTCCCCGTGATAATGAAGTTCGGCCTCCGCGCCCTCCGCCTCTATTTGAAAACCGTCGAGGCCAAGGATAAAAACTCAAACAACTTAAGGGGGCGGGGTACTTTATTATCGTGGGTTCGGGGTTAGTTGGGAACATGTGGCTGTGACGGCCAACCTCTGGGCCAGCGCACAGCAGCAGCAGGCGGCCGCGGTGACGGCCGCCATGTGGTGGTGTCGCAGGACCTCAGAGCACTGCGACACGTGGCCTGCCGGCAGTGCACCAGAGGTCCCAGCCCCACTGGTCTGGGAGGAGGTCTGGGATGATGGGCCTGTTGTCCACCACCACCACCATAAGCTGGAGAGGGGGAGGAGGAGGAGGAGGAGGAGGAGGAGGAGGAGGAGGAGGAGGAGGAGGAGGAGGAGGAGGTAGAAGAGGGGGAGGAGGACCCCCTCCCCCCCCAACTTCTGGTGGTGGTGGTGGTGGTGCAAGACAGGCCCACCATGGGGGCCGACCGCGCCCAGGCGCAGCGGCCGCGGCCGCCGCCGAGGGCCACGCGGCGGGGGGCAGCGGCATCCGGGCCCTGTCGCGCAGCAACAGCAGGTGCGGCGGCCGCCGCCGTCGTCGCTGCCGTCGCCGCCCTCGGGTGGGCCCAGGTCTGTTTCCGTCCTGCAAAACTCGGCACGAGCGAAATGGGTGCGGAAAGAATGGGTACCATGCCCGACAGCAGTTCCCGTTCATTTTGAGCAGGACTCGCTGTCCGCGCCGCCGCGGCCTGTGTCCATTTGAGACAGAAGGCCGCCTGCCCAACAGTGGCCGCTGTTGGTTTGGGACAACATTTGTTGTTGGGAATTTTGTATTTTTTTTTCCGTACCCATTTCGGGCGTCCAAAAAACATGAGGGCGGACGGTTTTTGTTGCCGTTTTGGGCCTCTGGGGGTTCTCGCCGAGCCCCGGGCCGGTCAAACAAGGCAACATCGTCCCCAGGGCAAGGACCGGTCGGTACTTCCAGGGAGTTCGTGTTGACACAATTCATAAAGATTCTCGAATGTCTGGGACCCCATAGGTTTTAGTTCGAGAGAGGGTGCTGAACCAAACTGTCATTCACTGTCCCTGGGTGCGTGGCTAAAGTGGAATTCCGCGATGCGGATTGTTGTTGTTGTTGTAGTTGTTGTTGCTGTTGCTGTAGTAGTAGTAGTAGTAGTAGTAGTAGTAGTAGTAGTAGTAGTAGTAGTAGTAGTAGTCGTAGTCGTAGTCGTAGTCGTAGTCGTAGTCGTAGTCGTAGTCGTAAGTAGTAGTAGTAGCTAGTAGTAGTAGTAGAGTAGTAGTAGTAGTAGTAGTAGTAGTAGTAGTAGTAGTAGTAGTAGTAGTAGTAGTAGTAGTAGTAGTAGTAGTAGTAGCAGTAGCAGTAGCAGTAGCAGTAGCAGTAGCAGTAGCAGAGCAGTAGTAGTAGTAGTAGTAGTAGTAGTTGTGTTGAACATTATTACTTCTAAAGAATAATTATTGTTGGGACCCCTGGTGCGCGACCCCCCTCCAAAACCTAGGCCGCAGCTACATTTTCATCATTTTTTCGCGAAAGCTTCAGAAAAGTGGATTATGTCCGGATCCGGTTGTTTTGTTACGTTGCGTTTTCCCTTGCAAAAAACACTATAAAATGAAAATTCTTGTTCTTACTGATCAAATTTCAAGAATCCCTTGCAAAAAATGAGGTAAAGTGGACATTCGCGCGCGCAAGACGAAATCCTTCCAAAACCTTAGTTTCGTAACGATTTTAACATAAAAACATCAAAAAACCAATGGTTTTTCAAAAAAAAATGTCAAAATTTCATCCCGCGCGCTCTTGCGGATTCGTAGGAAAACCAACACTTTTTAAACAATTCTGTCAAACGGGCTTTTGCGAGCAACTTTTTCGAACTTCTGCGACAACGGTTGCGCACCTGCCAGGGCCATCATCCCTGTCAAATAATACCATGCGGGACACATTCGTTTTTTCTTCGCGCGCGCACGCCGAAATCTCCAAAAACCATTGGGTTTTTAAGAATTTTAGCACCGCGCATCATAAAATCACACGAATCGCACCGTAGGTCCTCGAAAAACACCTGCACGACTTTTCAAAATTTCCACCCGCGCGCGCTGTCCTCTGTCTCTCTCTCTGTCTTTGTACTATGTATGTCATGCGCAACAAATGCACGATGCGGGGCACATGCGGGGCCCAAACAAGTGATCAACCTCTGCGGGTGTGTACTCCACGCCAGTGTAGTATCCACGATCGTCCGCGCGCCACGAAGTGAAGTGTCCTGACGTCATAGGGCGGGAAGCTGGGTGTGGGTGGTTCCCGAGAGTCGTGTGGATGTTTGGTAGAGCTTGCATTGCCCCCCCACGAAGTGGGGGTATTGGCTGGCGTCGCATGAAAACCCTGGCACTGGGGAGAACACTGAGCGTTCGGGTAAAATGATTGTTGTTGTTGTTGTTGTTGTTGTTGTTGTTGTTGTTGTTGTTGTTGTTGAACATTATTAATTCTAAAGAATAATTATTGTTGGGACCCCTGGTGCACGACCCCCCCGCCGCGCCTAGGCCGCAGCCACATTTTCATCATTTTCGTGAGGAAGTCTCAGGCAAAACGGGGTGATCCAGATCCGGTTGTTTTGTTGCCCGCTTTCCCTTGCAAAAAACACTATAAAATGACATTTCTTGTTCTAACATAACCAAACTTCAAGAATCCCTTGCAAAAAATAAGGTAAAGTGGACATTCGCGCGCGCAAGACGAAATCCTTCCAAAACCTTAGTGTTCGCAGCGATTTTAACATAAAAACATCAAAAAACCAATGGTTTTTCAACAAAAAATTGTCAAAATCTCATCCCGCGCGCTCTTGCGGATTCGTAGGAAACCCAACACTTTTTAAACATTTCTGTCAAACGGGCTTTTGCGAGCAACTTTTTCGAACTTCTGCAACAACGGTTGCGCACCTGCCAGGGCCATCATCCCTGTCAAATAATACCATGCGGGACACATTCGTTTTTTCTTCGCGCGCGCACGCCGTCGTCGTCGGCCGCGGGGCCCTGAATAGTAGCCACGGTCGTCCGCATGCCACGAAGTGAAGTGTCCGAACGTCATAGGGCGGGAAGCTGGGTGTGGGTGGTGGCGAAGAGTCGTTTGGAAATTTGGTAGAGCTTGAACCGGCCCCCCACAAAGTGGGGGTATTGCCCGCCTCCTATGAAAACCCTGGCACTGGTGAGAACGGTGTGTCCCCACGTGCTAGTAATTGTTGTTGTTGTTGTTGTTGTTGTTGTTGTTGTTGTTGTTGTTGTTGTTGTTGAACTCTCATTCTTGAAGAATAATTGTTGTTGATCCCCCCCGCCGGTGCACATTGATTTTTTTCGATTGAAGTGCCACCCAGGGGATCGCACCTTTTTTTTTCTCAAGGAAAGTCTTCCTGCTCAAACTGTGCCCCTGCCCCCCGGGCTACAACAACAACGGCTCCCGCTTGAGACTTCCTCGGTTTTTACTCAGGACCCCCGCTCCCGCCTGAGACGTCCGCGCAATTTACTCAGGAAAGGCGCTCCCGTTTGAGACTTCCTCGCAATGTAATCAAGACCCCCGCTCCCGCCTGAGACTTCCGTGCAATTTACGCGGGAACGGCGCTCCCGCCTGAGACTTCTTCGAATTTTACTCAGGACCCCCGCTCCTGCTTGAAATTTCCGCGCAATTGACTCAGGAACGGCGCTCCCGCCTGAGACTTCCTCGCAATTTAGTGAGGACCCCCGCTCCCGCCTGAGACTTCCGTGCAATTTGCTCAGGAACGGCGCTCCCGCTTGAGACTTCCTCGCAACTTAGTCAGGGCCCCCGCTTCCGCCTGAGATTTCTTCACAATGTACTCAGGACTGCGCTCTCGCGTGCGACGTCCTCACAAATTATTCTGGAATTGCGTTTCGGCGCTCAGGAGCCACGCGCGCGCCAAGGACGCCTTCACAACGTGGTATCTTCCCTCTTCCTTCGTCCTTCCCCCTCCCCTTCCTCCCACTCTCCCTCGTTCTTCCCCTCCTCCTCTTGCAGGGCCCGCGCCAATTCCAATGGCGGGCAGAGAGATATACGCACCCAAAGGATTGTCCGCCCGTTCCGGTTTGCCCGTGCGTCTAAGCCCGCGGGCCCCAGCAAAGAGAAATAATCCCCCCGAAAGGGGTGTGATCGAAGACGAAGAGGGCGGGCATCGACGGTGTAGGGTATACGTGTTGAATGACTCGCGGGCAAGTAAGAGCGTACAGCCTTAAAATGGTTGTTGTTGTTGTTGTTGAACATTATTATTCTAAAGAATAATTATTGTTGGGCCCCCTGGTGCGCGCCCCCCCTGCGCCGCCTAGGCCGCAGCTACATTTTCATCATTTTCGTGAGGAAGCCTCAGGTAAAAGATGTGATACAGATCCGGTTGTTTTGTTGTAATCCGCTTTCCCTTGCAAAAAACAATATAAAATGACATTTCTTGTTCTAATATAATCAAATTTCAAGAATCCCTTGCAAAAAATAAGGTAAAGTGGACATTCGCGCGCGCAAGACGAAATCCTTCCAAAAGCTTAGTGTTCGCAGCGATTTTAACATACAAACATCAAAAAACCAATGGTTTTTCAACAAAAAATGTCAAAATCTCATCCCGCGCGCTCTTGCGGATTCGTAGGAAACCCAACACTTTTTAAACATTTCTGTCAAACGGGCTTTTGCGAGCAACTTTTTCGAACTTCTGCGACAACGGTTGCGCACCTGCCAGGGCCATCATCCCTGTCAAATAATACCATGCGGGACACATTCGTTTTTTCTTCGCGCGCGCACGCCGTCGTCGTCGGCCGCGGGGCCCTGAATAGTAGCCACGGTCGTCCGCATGCCACGAAGTGAAGTGTCCGAACGTCATAGGGCGGGAAGCTGGGTGTGGGTGGTGGCGAAGAGTCGTTTGGAAATTTGGTAGAGCTTGAACCGGCCCCCCCACAAAGTGGGGGTATTGCCCGCCTCCTATGAAAACCCTGGCACTGGTGAGAACGGAGTGTCCCCAGTCTTAAATGATTGTTGTTGTTGTGGTTGTTGTTGAATTCTCATTTCTGAAGAACAATTATTGTTGATCCCCCCACCGGTGAATATGGTTTTTTCTCAATCAAAGTGTGCCCCTCGACGCTTGCACCCTGTTTGTTGACAGGGAAAGTCTTCATGCTCAAACTGCTCCCCTGGCCCCCGGGTTACAACAACAACGGCTCCCGCTTGAGGCTTCCTTACAATTTAGCCAGGACCCCCGCTCCCGCCCGAGACTTCCTCTCATTTTATTCAGGAGTCGCGCTCTCGTTTGGGACTTCCTTACAATTTATTGAGGGATCGCTCTCCCGGCGCTCTGGAGTCGCGCGCTGGAGATTTGCTTGCAATTTACTGAAGAATAGCCCTGCGTTGGAATTTCTTCACTTTGCCCAAGCGCCGCGCTCCCGACACCCAGGCACCCAGGAGTCGCGCCCGTCGTGGCCCCATGTGCATGCCCTTCGTGGCCCCGCTGTCGCCATTTGTGTCCCCCTCACTGTCCTACGTGGCCCAGTTGCTACCCTCAGTGGCCCCATAGTTGCCTTCTGTGGCCC